CCTTGACCATTTCTTAAATTGTCTAGAGCATATTTTTTCTATTTTTTAAATTGTCTAGAGCATATTTTTTCTATTTTTTGTTTCAGGGTATAGGTGCAATTGTGCCACCTTTTAATTATATGGATACTAACTCTCTTTTAAAAAAAAAAATTAAAAAAATGATTTTTTAATAAATAAGACTGTCACTATTTAATATTTTTATAAATAAAAATATAAATTTTGTGAATTTTTTATTTAAAGATTTAGTATTTTCGTTAACTACGTCATCGCCCCACTATATATCCCTAAATCATTAAATAAACAAAAAAAAATTCTATTGTGATTTAGAAAAGTTTTAAATTGATATTTTTATTTAAAAATAAATAAAACTTATATCTTTAAATAAAAAATAAAATTTTTATTTTTATTTATATCTTTACTTTTTTTTGTACAAAGATAATTGAATTTGATTAAAAAAATTTATATTTTACAAATTAAACTGCACATTTATAAAATTACTAAAGTAGCTTAGCAAAATATTATAAAAAATAATATTTTTTTTTGGATAAAATGTAAATCTTATTATCCAATATAAATGTCTGTACAATAAAGCAGCTAATAAACTGCTACAAAGCAAAAGAAACTATCAAAAAGAATGATTAAAACTGTACAAACAATACAAAGGTTAATGTTTCACAATTGTCTCAAGCCCCCATTTGCATGCAATCCCCATGGGTAGGAGAGAAGAGTTTGGCCGAGAAAAACCCAAAATCTTGCTCCTTACCTCAAATTGAATGTCTTGAACAATCATGCTCTCTACTTTAAAAAGTTGCTGGTGAAACCTTCTGTTTCTTTCCAACCATGTGTGGTAGATTGCTGCATTCCAAGCTAATTTGATTAGCAAATTGTGTAAAGACTTCCTTCTGAGTTTTTTACCCATCCATTGTAATAAAACTTGCCAAGAGTCAGCAAACGGGATACCAAGCATAGAGCTAAGCTGTTGCCATATTCGTCTTGTGTAGCTACACTTAAAAAAAAGGTGCTCATTTGTTTCTGGACTGCCATTGCAAAGGATGCAAGTATCAGAAATTGTGGGGGTCCATTGCTTCTGCCTTGCCCTTGTGCTTAGTCGATTAAGCACAGCTAACCAACTAATGAAGCTATGTTTAGGAATAGCTTGGGAAAACCAAACCAATCGATGCCATATTTTCCTGTCTTGTCTCCTTCGCAACCAATGCCAAGTCTGTCCGATCTTGAAGCTACCAGATGTAGAAGGCACCCAAACTACAGTATCCTTTTCTCCTTCTTGAGGATAGATATCAAAGAGATGCATTTGTATTTGTACCAATTGGGGAGACCTAGTAGGAGGCCATTGCCAAAAACTCCCATTGATTACACTAGCCAAATAATTTTACTAAACCTTTTAAAGTAACTCATGAATTGCATAATAAATTAATAACAATTTGACACGTGAAATTACAATTGTATGATAAATTAATAACATTTTCACAAGTGAAACTACAAGAACTCATTTTATTATAGTTTTGGACAAATTAAGGACTCATTTTATTATTATTATTTTGCTTAATTATAAATATTCGACGGATCAAGTGATGCCATGTCATGTCAGATATCTAATCGCTGGATCCCTGTGTTGTAGACATTTCACTGAAGTGGGTGCTAGTTTATGGGATGGTTATTACTATTGTTAAAAATGAAGGCACATAAATATTTAAAATTTTTTAATAATGTTTAAAAAGATTAATTTATTAATTATTTTTAATTTAATTTATTAATTAATAAATATTAATTAATTTATTAATTATTAATATGTTTGAAGATAATATTTTACATTTTTAATATTTTTATTAATAAACATAACCATTTTCCTTGTTTATGCATGAGTTTTTTGAACCATTGTTAACAATGGCTATGGTTATATATGGCACTATTGTTTTTGTTAGGGTTATTAAAGTGTTAAATTTTTATTTTAATTTAACAATTAAAAATAATATATAATTAATAAAATAATTAATATTTATCATTTAATAGATTAAAATCAATTTACAAATTAACATTTGTAAATATCATAACCAATTATTTTAAAAAATATAAATTAATAAAATTGTAATTAAAATTGATAACAAATTAATGATTTTAACAAAATTATTGGCTACTATAACCTTAACCACTTAAGGTTATAATTATAATATTTTATTAAATAATTAAATACAAAGAAAGTTATATATTATAATAATAAATTTATAATATTACATAATATTTTTATATTAAGAGCTCAATTGTGCCTATTGAGTATAGAGCAATAATTATATTTGATTTTTTTTTTTTTTAGATTTATGAGATGTACGTGAATTGATATGTTTACATAGAATTTCAATTTAACTCTCAATTTGGATTTAGATTATAGAACTAATATACTTCTTCAACTCAATAGTGGTAGGTATAATTTGACTTTTTGATTTTTAAAATACAAAGTTTGTAAAAATTCAACATAACAAACAAATTACAATTAATTTTTTTATTTAGTGAAATCACCACTACAAGAAAAAAGATCAATTCCCCTGCATTTGTTTAAGTATTTACTTGCGTTTAAAAATGCTACTAAAAAAGCCACCAGCACTTACACAAACCCCACACAATAGCTGGCGTGGACCGTGCCGATAAATATCATAACTGCATTTAATGCAACACCGGTATAAACTTATTTTCTTCTACATTTATTGAAAACGTTGGGGAATCACTCAAGGAAACGCAGGTAATGCCCATGTCAAAAGTCCCAAATTATTGATATCTTTACCTGCATTTTTTTTATTAAACGCAAGGCCTATTTTTGGTATTTGCCCAAATACGCTTTTGTTTTTTTTTTTTTTTTTTTTTTTTTTTGCAGTGT